AGACGGCAGCGGTTGTGGTGCCTGGCGGCAGCCCGCCCAACACCAGAAGGACGCCTCGTACCCACAGCAAGCCGCCCCAGCGCCTCCGCCTCCGCGCACCGCCAGGGCCCGGGACCCTGGCTCCGACAGCCCCCGCGGCCGCCATCTTCGGCTGAGCGTCGTTACCATGGAGTGGCTACGCGTCCGCGGCCGCCGGCCCTTAGCCCGGGACAGGTGTCCGGCCAGCCACGCTGCCCCGCTCCTCCATTGGCCCCCGTAGCCGATACACTGCGGCCCGCGCCCAGTTGGCCAATTACTGTGGCCTACGGCCCACGTGACTGTGGGAACCGGAAGGGCTGGCGGGAATGGGACAGGACCTGGGGCGGCGTTAGCACTGGGGGCATTCCAGTTGCCAGAACTCAGATGGGCACGTGGACATGCTAAGTCGTAGCGGAGGCCTGTACGGGTGGCCTACATGCTTTTCCTACCCCGTCACCAGTTTTGGTCTGGTCCCTAGAAGCCACTTCCTATAGGTGTTCGCTCTGTGCGTTAGCGTGCTTAAACAAGCAGCATTACTTCAACTCATGCAAAGGTGGCTTGGCCCTTCAACTTCCCCTTTCAAAATCGTGTCAGTGGAGCACGTGAGGTTCAATTCTGTGCTAAGCAGGGAACAAGCCCCAAACTGAAAACACTTAAGAGTTGGAATGCCACTCAGAGGGAACTCAGTTCCTGAATTACTGAAGAATATGGTGATAGGAAAGACACTTTTACAATTTTTTTTTTGGTGATTATGTTCATTTAAGAACTAAACAGATGTGACTGCCGGGAGGCTCAGTCTTAAAAACTTTAATTTTATGTGAGTCTATGCCTAAACGTGAGTGCACCTGTGCTGTATAAGGCCGGCAGAGATCAGAAGGCTGGTAGGATCCTCTGGAACTGGAGTTAGGATTTTTTTTTTTGGTGATTATGTTCATTTAAGAACTAAACAGATGTGACTGCCGGGAGGCTCAGTCTTAAAAACTTTAATTTTATGTGAGTCTATGCCTAAACGTGAGTGCACCTGTGCTGTATAAGGCCGGCAG